TTTTGTGTTTTTAGTGCAAAAAAAATTTTTGTTTTCAAAAACACGTTTTCGAAAATAGGAAAGAGAACGCGTTTTCACTGTTTTGGAAAATCGAAAACAGAAAACGGTTCGAAAACGGCAAAGAGAACAGGGCCTAAGCCTTCGTGTTTGGCACGCCTTAGCAGGATTGCGTTTCGCGTATTCCGTAACATAGCAGAGAAAATGCGTCTCATTGAGTACTTTCTAAAGCATGGGAGGATACTGGAAAAGATGGTATTTTGGTGGTGGTGGTGGTGGTGGTGGTGGTGGTGGTGGTTGGGGGGTACGAAGCATAAATTCAAGTACTAGAGCAATCAAAAAAAAAAATTAAGGGATTCTCTAGATGTTCAAAGTACCACTGTGTTCAAGTTTTAGGAAATTCGGATAACACACATTTCTAGTATTTCATAACGATCTGATCTTTCTTGGGCATTTAGTCGTATGTGTGCGCTACAAATAAGTCATTTGTAATAATTTTCCATATCTACAGTCACAATATGGGAACGCACACTAAAAAGTGTATTGTATGTTTTGCTCCAATAGACAAACCCTAATTGAACATAATTGCTTCTACGTTATTGGTTGGCTTAAATTGAGCTCTAATTAGAATTTTTTTTTTTTATAGGGCGGCACCTTCGATATTTTATTGATAATCCCTCATTTGTGGCTAGGATGTAAACAAAGTCAAAAAGTTCAAGTGAGCTAAGTTCAAGTGAGCTAGGATGTATCTTTATTTCCAGTGTTTTGAGTGTCAATTGGGCTGAAATAGATTGTTGAAATGTCATTTATAGCTTTCACTGCACCCATTCAGCATCAATATTTGCATTATAGGACGGGCTAAAGTTCATATTCATACAACTTGAGTGCTAGAAATAAATTGCCAAAATATAATGGTTAAAAAGTAAAATATAGCAGAAGAATATATAGCATCGAAATTCAATCTTGGAGAATTCATTCAATTCTCAAAATGCATGTTAAAGAGATGCTTACCCCCTCCATCTTGATTCATTAAAAATTGAGTGGTTCCACCGCCGAAGAATATACAAGGCATAGGCACCGAAACGTACATAAGAGCTGTGAAAACAAGTTTTCCCTTCTTAAGTGTAGGAATCAGAGATTGGCTAAATCAATCTTTCAAATGAAACTCTAGCTTATTAAAATAGAAGCATACATACAAACCTGACGACATATGCTACCAATTGTTGTATATTGCACAAGCCTGCAATCAAAACCAAAAAAGTAACCATTACACCGACGTGATGTTTCTATTTGCTTGTGTGTGCAACTATGCCTCACAGATTGAACGAATTTGGGGGTTAGGGTTCTTGAAGTGGATTTGGGAGAAATTGAATTTTCACCAGAAAGGGTTTGGGTTTTTACAATTCAAAATTTGCGTCTGTAAGCCTGTTTGGAAGATTTTGGGAATTAAGGTTCTTGAGATGGATTTGGGAGAAATTGAATTTTCACCAGAACGAGTCATGCTACTTGTCCTGTCCAAGTATATTCACCCTTGGTTTTTACAATTCAAAAGTCGCAAGTCTTTAAGCTTGTTTGGATGTGACTTTGCTAAAAAAAAAAAAAAAGTTGAACCCCAACCTTGAGGGTCTCCCACCGCCCCGTCCTACCCCTCCCCTAGAGCATTGTGGAGGAAGTAAATCGCGGGATGTGCCTCAACAGGTTAGAGTACAAGAGCTGCCATACTGGTACCCATAAAGAGTCCAATTACATACCTTGTAAGAGGCAGGAATTGAACTCTCATACTGCAGCTGCCAGCTCAGCTAAGACGGATGTGACTTTGCTGATTTGACTATGAGTTGTAGAGAGTTATTATTCGGAAGGATTTAACAGGCGATCTGAACTTTTCGTCATCTACATAAGCACATTTATAAACAGATTTAAATGGATGAATGATGAGTTTGATGGAGCAAAATTCAGTGATCAATGAGACAATTAATGAAGTTCGATAAGTAAAATGGTGAGATGTTGCGAAGTTGCAAGTGAAACATTTAAAAAAAAGACTTTAAAATAAGCAACAAGTGTTTAAAATTATATTATTTTTATTTTTAAAAATAAAAGGGTAATTAGTAGAAAACGTCCCTACCTTTCAAGTTCATTGTGGAAAACGTTATTACCTTTCATTTTTTTGGCATTTTTGCTTTTATTTCCAACTTTCTTTTCGGAGAACGTCCTTCTGTCCACAATCCGTCAGTTGCTCCGTTAATGCAATACAAAAATGTTGTTTTCTTTTAAATCAACAAGGGTAAAATAGTCATAACCCATTCATCTCCTCTTACGCTCGAACGTTCCCTGACGGTTTTCTTCTTCAAAATTTTTTATCTTTCTTCCACTTCTACAACTGTTCCCCCTTTCTCCTCTCATATGCTCTCATCACATCTCGTAGGTACAGAATGGAAGGACGCATTGAGGGTTTCTCTAGCGAGCGAGGTAAGAAACATTACCGTTTCATTTTCAATTTTGTATTTTGATTTTTGGGATGATTGAGAGTCTGTGTGGAGTTTTGATACTAGCTATTGGTGCGCAGACCTTCGAGGAGCAAGCATGTTTCTTCTACTTTTAAGCAACCCTGGCGACGAACGACCCAGTTATGATATGCGTTCATTCCTTAAATTTTGTGTGAACTCATCTAATTCCACTGTTCATTCACACAATTTCATTGTGCAAACCCCCAATTGTGTGAATGTGAGTATGGTGCATTCGGTATTTCACTTTTGCGTGAATTCAGTGTCCATTTCAATGTCACTAAAGTTTACACTATTGCATGCAGGTGGTAATTCTCAATATTTCACTGTCGAAGTACATTATGGAGGCCAGTTTTATGATAAGCCAAACAATGTGGTGTACGAAGGGGGATTTGTTCTGTTCGTCGACTTCTTTCATGGTAAATGGTGCACCAGAGAGAATTTGCGCAAGTTCTTACACGGAATTTGTGATGAAAGAGTGTTGGAGTTTTACTATAAAAAACAAAAATTGAGTTTAGGGAAGGAATTGACGAAATTGGAAAGTGAAGAAGATATTAAAGGGATGCTTAGGGACATGGATGGACATCCAGATGTAAAAATATACTTCGCAGTCCAAATGCAATCATATGCATTGTCGTTGCATCCTTGGTCTTCACAAGTTGATGAAGACCAAACATTTGACGATTGTTATGTACCTTCAATTGCAGAAAATGAAGGAAGGGAGCCTGAAGGTAATTGGCCAGATCAATTTTTTATTTTTGAAGAGAATGCTGACGAGTTGTGGTCACAGTACGACGAAACCTTACAATACCATAACGAGGAAGATACAAATATAGGTGATGTGAGTGTGGAAGATGA